AAAAAAAAAAAAAAAAAAAAAGCTTTCTCCTGAAAGGAGAAGTTATGGGTAAGACTCAGAAGAAATAAAAGGCAGCTTCAACAGTATTTGTTATGGTTTGTCTCTAGATGTTCCCCCAAAGCCTCGAGCAGTCATGGGTGAAGATTTTTCAGAGGTGGCTGGATCTGGAGTGTGTGATGCTGGGGTTAAAGGTGTATGATAACTAAATTAGTCTACTGATTGGTTTGACTTAGTTCTGAGTGTGGACAATGGGAAGGCCCACCCTGGGTGTGACTGCTACCTGTCCTAAGGGTGTACAGCCTCAACAGAATATAAAGGACAGAAAGAGGGCTGCTGCCCTCACTGGCTGATTGCTACTTTGCTGCATTGCTGCATTGCTGCCTTCTGCTCACCATGGATTGTTTTTTCTCTACGATGCCCCTCTGCCATGGAGCCAGCCAATTATGGACTGAAACCTCTACAGACTGAACTGCAATAAACCTTTCCTCCTTTTATAACTTTTGGTATTGGGTCTTTTGTCTCAACAACAAGAAAATTAAGACAGTATTTTGTTGTTGTTTTTGTTTGTTTGTTTTTGGTACTGGGGATTGAACTCAGGTCCTTCAACTTGCAAGGCAGGCCACCGAACTGCTGAGCTAAATCCCTGGCCCAAGACAGTTTTAACAGTATATTATTTTTTACCCCCCAGTACCTGGGATCAAACTCAGGACCTTCCACTTGCCAGGCAACAGCACCACTTAGCTACATCCCAATAGTATGTTAGTTCTTAAATTAGTAAAACAATTTTTAGACTCAGGGTCTTGCTATGTGGCCCACACTGCCTTGAATGCACTGTGTAGTCCTCCAACTCACAGCAATACTACCACCTCAGCTCCTGAGTGTTGGGATTACAAGGGCATGCCACCACACCAGGCTTAAATTAGCAAATTTTATGGGCATTTACTATGATGCTTATATTTTTATGTATCATATATGATACACAAATATTTTAATTCAATAAAATTATAAAAACCCATAGTTTAAGCTCAAAGGAAAGAATCATCCTTTAAAAGCTTATTTTAATAGTCTAGCTAATGAAATCCACTGTTTCATTTTATTTTCTTTTTCCTTCCCTCCCTCCCTCCCTTCCTTTCTTTTCTGTCCTTCTTTCTTTCCTTCACTTGCTTGCTTGCAGTACGAGGGATTGAACCCACGCCCTTTACACTTAAGCTACATCCCCACCACATTTTCTTATTTTGAGACAGGGGGTCAGTAAGTTGCTAAGTTGCCCAAGCTGGTTTCAAATTTGGAATTCTCACAGGGAAGAAAGAGAGAGAAAAGGGACATAAAAAGAAATCAGAGGGCTGGGGATTTAGCTCAGTGGTTCTGCCACCTGCCTTGAAAGCGCAAGGTCTGAGTTTGATCCCTGGTTTAAAAAAAAGAAATCAAGATGTGTTGTGTGTATATATACCAACTCCCCACAATGAATGCACCGTAATCATTATGAATTGCAAAAATGTACTAATAAAGATTAAAAATTGAAAGAAAAAAAAAGGAATTCTGCTTCAAGTGCTGGAATTACAGACATGTGCTACCACACCCAGCTCTATTTTTATTTTTAAATTTTAAATTTTTTATTTTTAAATTTTAAAAAGGTTTCCCAAAAGCCATTATGAAGATTAATCATTTTACAAGGTAACATTTCATGGCCTTCCATATTTTGCAATGTTAGAACAGCAACGTTTTTGTTGGGTAGCTGTTTAGTTTGAATTACATAATTACACAGAGGAAATACTTAGATAAAAGATTTTCTTACTGTGTCAAAGGAAAGTAAGTCATCTTTGCTCCCACCAAATACCATTATTTCATTTTCTTTTCCCAAACAGGCTGTGTGCCATAATCTACAATTGAAAATTAAAACAGTGAAATACTTTCAAGGAAGAAAGTGGTATTGCATATAAATCAGATGTAAATTGTACACCATAAAATTTAATCTATTTCAAAAGAGATATGATTGAACTTCAACTTTTGGCATATTCTCAAAGGGTTATCTATCTATCCATCCATCCATTTATTTGACACAGGGTCTTGCTATGTAGTTCAGGCTGGCCTTGAATTTACTATTGCCTGAAACTCATGGCAATCCTCCTGCCATATCCTGCCAAGTGCTGGGATTACAGACTGTGTCACCATATCTGGCAAAGGGTTATATTTTAAAGATTCCACTAGAGTTCATTAAATCATTTCATTTTAGTCAAGGAGATGATTCCTGACCTTCTTCTAATCCCTTCATCTCATACTTATTATGTGTAAAATATAATAAATTACAAAGGAACTGATCCCTGCCTTGGTACACCGGCTTTTCCCAGTTTTCCCAGGAGGCCCAATCATGCTGCTGTGCTCTCCACCTGGGCCTCTCTCCTGCTCCTGGACGCTCGCCCGGTAGCCACTGCAGCACTCTCTGCATTTCTGCTGTCAGACCACTGGGCACCCTGGGTACACAATACTATAGAATGTTCCTAGAATTGTGTCTCTAATCTTTCCTGCCTACTACAGCTAATAAATAATATTTTCAAATTTTTTGCTTTTAGTCATTTGAAAAATTTAATTGACATACAACGTTTGTACATATTCATGGGGTACTTGTGATAATTTAATACGTGTATATAATGTGTAATGGTCATGTCAGGGTGACAGAATTTCCATCTCCTCAAATATTTGTCATTTCTGTGTTAGGAACCTTTGGATTCCATCTCCTCAAATATTTGTAATTTCTGTGTTAGGAACCTTTGGATTCTGCTAGTTATTTTGAAATATATCATAAATTATAGTCAACTAGTTACCATGGAAATTTCCTGATTAGAACCAGCAGCTGGTTTTGCTAGCCTAATATTTGTGATCAACTGCCATTTCTTTTTCTCGCAAATCTTAATTCTTGTCTCTCCCTGAATGAATCCTCGATTTCAGACAACTCTACTTCCTTGCTTAACTTAAAAGTGGGGGAGGTTATATATACATGTAGGCTTCTATTCACTTTTTCCTTGTGCTTAGAAAAGTCATTTTCTAAGCCTTAAATACAATCTCAGCCCCCAGTAAGTGTTCCAAATAACCCATCCAAACTGGTTCGGTTGCAATCTATGTTCAGCTCATTTTATACTCTCTTGACTTACACTGAAAGACTAACTGCTCTGTCTACTAGCTTAATTATCTAACACGTGACTTCTAGCTCTCTCTAAAAACAAAACAAAACAAAACTTATGAAGTCCATCAGGTCAGAAATTGCCATAATGGTGTGCTGGGACCAATTTGCTGGCTAAGTTAAACTGGCTATGGCTATCTCCACCAGATCAGATTCGGTGACATCCTGCTGATAGTCAGAAGTCAGCCACGGTAGGAGGATTTATACCTCAAAAATTAACAAATGCTAAACACACCCTCTATCACTGCCCCAGGGTGGCTGTAATTATATCCGAGCACATCACTGGAACTTAGGTATTTTAATTTTATTTAAATATGCCCAATATGACATTCTGTACCCAGTGGATGCTCAAAAACTTGATGTGCAAAATTGAACCCAAAATACAAATATAATTTATTCAGTGATAATATACAAATTATATCATAAAGGAATAGAGAGACTAATTTTTCTGGCAATGGTCTGAAAGCTCATATCTATCTCTATTTCACATTTACCAAGAATAATTTTGTAGTTTTATAAAGTTCAATATTTGCAGAGGATCTAACTCTCTGAAAAGGGTATGCATAAATGTCCTAATAGGATAAATTAAGAATTTTTACAAAGTTAGTGATTTTACTTAGTTGATTTTTTTTATTGTGAATAGTTTTCTTCCTTTTTTTCTTTCTGGTACTGGGGATTGAACCCAAGGCCTTTTACTAAGCTACATCCCTAACCCTTATTTTTTTTTTTTTAATTTTGAGACAGGGTTTCACTAGGCTGCTAAATTGCCCAGGTTGGTCTCAAGCTTGCAATCCCCCTGCCTAAGCCTCCCAGATGATGCCTGGCTTGCAATTACTCTTATTTTTCTTTTCTCTTTCTTTTTTCTTTTCCTTTCTTTTCCTTTTTCTCTCCCCCTTTTCCTCCCTCCCCTCCCTCTCCCCCTCCCCCTCCTCTTTCCTTTGGTACTGGGGATTGAACTTGAGACCTTGAACTTGTGTGAGACAGGTAGCAGAACCACTGAGCTAAATCCCCAGGCCCAATTACTTTTCTTACTAGACCAAACTGCTGAAGCAGCAGATAGCCAAAACAATTATTATTACTCATTATATTACTATATAACTGAGTTTTAGTTCATTAATCCCCTTTACTTAAATGCCATAAATGCAAACAGTGGAAGTACACATAATTTGTTGAACTAAATACTTGTGTCAAACAACCATGCATATATTCAGTGACAAAAGGTACTTGTGACCCAGGACAGATCTGAGTCACTAGATATGCTGTTTGGGAAACACTCTGCCCAGTTCTCTAAATCATGTGTTAGGATGTAAAATGGGGCTGTATATCCAATTTCAGCAAGAACCCATGAAGGAGACTGTCTTGAATGAATGTCCTCATATATGGGCAGGGACAGATTCATTTTCCAGAGAAGGCCACGTGTGGCCCTTCAATCCTTGTGGCATCCAGCAAAACTTGCATCTCTCTATACTGACACTTCACCGGACACCTCTCACAGACTCATAGAAAGGGTCCTTTCTTACAACTGCTATGAAGGTGGGGCTCTTATAGGTGGTTTGCAACCATGCAGAGTTTAACTAAGGTGAGGCCTGGAAAAGAGAACTGCAATACAGAACTGTTTCTCAACCAGGAGAGACTAGTCCTCCAAAGGGGCATTTGGCAGTATCAATAAACATTTTCGGTTGTCACATGTGAGAAGAAGGAAAACAGAACTAGTCACATCTAGTGGGTAAAGGTCAAGAGTGCAGCTAGGACACCCCTAACAAGCATTATTTGGTTCAAAATGTCAAGAGTGCCTAAGAGAAATCCTACCTTGGATTTCTAAAAGGAGAATTGGGCAGCTTACACTTCAAATTGTAACTTGGAAATTTTTGCACGAAATGCATCTAAATGTTATGTAAATTGTCACTTTCATTTAAAAAAGAGTATATACACAAACATATACGTTCTCCTTACACTGAACTGTACCCCACCTGTTCTCCTCCTCACCTGATACCAGAAGATAGTTCTGTTTCTGTTTTATCTGCCTTAGGGAAACTGTGGCCTGGATTTCATCATCGAAGAGCACTGGAAAGCCTTTCCTGCCTTGATTTTGGTGACATCTAGCTTGCAACCTGCTGTTTTTTCTACAGGCTGTTTCTGTCCTCTCACAGCTGCTCTAAACTTATCACCTAAACATTCTAATAAAGCACAGTATTTAAATGACACATTAGCTGAATGACAAGGAATCTCTTTACACAACTCTAATTCTTACTAGCGTATCGGTAATAATTGTGTCACTCTAGTTATTCATTAAGAGTTGAAACATAAAAATAGGAGCAATTTAAAATTAAACATTTTTATTACCATTTTGGTCTATAATGCATTTGCAACATCCAAAAACTGGAAGCATAACACAGTCCAGTCCAAATCCCTCGTTTCACAGCCAAAGAAATTGATGCTCAGTTTCTTTCTTTCTTTTTTTTTTGTACCAGGGATTGAACTCAGGTCCTTGCTCTTGCAAGGTAGGCCACCGAATCGCTGAGCTAAATCCCCAGCCCTGATGCTCAGTTTGTTTAAGGGACTTTAAAGTAAAAAAGCTCAGTGGTAGCTAAGCAAGGATGAGAACTCTGGCCTTCCACATCTTAATATTAGACTCTAAAATTAAGCAAATATGTTTCAAAAGTGTCAAAATAATATATGCTGATGAACTTTTATGAAAATATAAAAATCACATATGTAATTATGATAGACTTTAAATCCATAGTGCATATTAACAGATACAGACACGCCAAAGTAAATATAATTTCAGGGCTTTTTTCTAAGTTATTTATCACTTATTAAATAACAAAAATATAGATCATTAAATTGGCTTTGCACTAGTATTTAATCTGTAGTAAAAATATCTAAAATATATGCCATGAAAAAGAATGTTACTATCACAATTATTAGATGCTGAATCTGAATTTCCTATGAAGATATTTTTATTATACTATTTAATCTAACTTGAAAAATTAAGAATAATACTTTTGTGTTATTTTCTTGTCTAATGATAGTATAACTGTTTCTACAATTTTTGCCCTACAATGTACTACAAATAACGAACTTATGTTCTTTTTCAAAAAATTCACATTAATGAATACATCAGTCTATTAACAAATGAAAATAATTTTCCATCTACTAGATCAACATGGAAGCAAATTTTCTCATTAAATTGATTTAAACTTCTAAAAACAACTACTGAAACCAACCCTATTCTTGTCTACTTATTAAAATATTACAATTTTTAAAGCTTAACATTATGAGATGCTTTAAATTATCTTATCCTTTTCATATTTACCAAGTAAGATTATGAATTTATCTAAAATGATATTTTAAAATATGCAAATATGGGTAAAAACTAGATAGATCATTTCTAACAATTACATAAAATTTATTTAACTTTTATGATTACATTATTTAGGTGACATGAAGCTCATGTGAAAGATATCCATCCTGACAGTTTATGATTTCAATAGCAAACACTATAAATTCAGTGCTATATCTTAATACTTCAAAAATTCTTAACTATTTTGTTGTTTGTCAACTTCTAAACTTACCTGGGTCTTGTATTAGGTAAATGTATGAGTTGTCTCCAACAATTTGTTATGACATTATGAATCCAACCATCACCTGCAATATTAAGACAGTTCAGAAATTAAGATTAGGTCTTTGGGATACAATGTTAATTTTCACTTTGGTACCAGGGGTTGAACTTGGGACCTTGTGCTTGCAAGGCAGACGGCGGAACCACTGAGCTAAATCCCCAGCCCCTACAATGTTAATTTTTTCCAAATTTATTATTACATTTATATTATTATCTTTTGTGTGTGTACACAGTTTTTCATAAATGTTTTCACACATACATAGAAAAGTAGAATGGTCCACATAGGCCAGGTTCAATAAATGGCAAGGTTTGGGGCTGGAGTATAGCTCAATGTTAGAGGATATACTTAGCACATGAAAGGCCCTACGTTTGATCCCCAAAATGAAAAAATAAAAATATGTTGTCACATGTGCTCCATTTATCTCTTTATGTTCTATTTTTGAATTATTAAATCAAATCTTAGATTGCCTATCATTTTCCTCAAACATACTTCAGTATGTATCACTTAAAAAAATGGACCCTTTTTAAATAACCACAATGCCATTATCACAGTTAACAAACCAAAAATAAGTTTACAGTATCCATATGACCAAATCTTAAATTGAATCTGTGAAGGAAGAAACTGAGTAGAACACTAAGAATTAGGACATCTAATTTCCCAAAGGTCAATGACCACAAATAGAAAATAGGAATTATGAACAGTAGAATTGTGTTATGTTATTAACCTTTAGTGAAAAAATACAGGTATCGGCCGGGGATTTAGCTCAGTGGTTCTGCCACCTGCCTTGCATGTGTGAAGACCCAAGTTCAATTCCTGGTACCCACTCAAAAAAAGAAAAAATACAGATATCCATTTTAGTGTGATTCTGAATCTCTTTTAATAAAAAAAAATCACAAATTAGAGAAGTATAATAATCTGCAAGAACAACTAGCATCTCTCACTGGGAATTGCTGTTTCTCTGACTACCTTCTGGGGCTCGGTGATTAGCAGCCAGCCAAATGTACCATTGATGCTCAATAAACCTATGTTGCATAGCAAATGGTTGTTTCAGATTCTATATAAAATTATATAGAATGGTTTCAATAGTATGTAAGTGGGCTGGGGATTTGGCTTAGTGGTTCCACCACCTGCCTCACAAGAGCAAGAGCCCAAGTTTGATCTCTAGTACCCCCGCAAAAAAAGTACGTTAGGGTTGTTTTTTGTGTGTGTGCGCCCCCCCCCCCACTGGGATGAAACTCAGGCCCTTGTGCTTGCAAGGCAGGCACAGCACCACTGAGCTAAATCCCTGGCCCGATGTAAGGTTTTTCTTTTTTCTTTCTTTCTTATTTTTTTTTGATAGAGTCTTACTATGTAGTTCAGACTGCCCTGGAACTCACTGTGTAGCCAAGGCTGGTCTCAAAATCATAGCAATCCTGCTTCAGCCTCCTGAGTGCTGGGATTACAGGCATGCGCCACCACGCCTGGCTGAGGTTTTTCAATAAAACATGTCTAGCTGTAGAAAACTTCTGGATTATGGGTGTACATTGAGTCCATACTCTTAAGTGAAATAAATAGGACACACGTGTGTAAATACTGAACAGTTCCTCTGGTGTGAAAGTGTAAAAGAGGATCAAAATGTGCAACTGATAACGTGAAATAGGAAGAAATGATCAAAAGGGGAAGGGGTAGGCGAAGTGGGGGGAATAGGGGAAGGGAAAGAAAAAATATGAGAAAAGAAGGAAAAAACAAAAACAAAGTCTTTGTAAATAGAGAGGGGTAGAGGGATTGAAAGGAGGGCAGGGGAATGGGGAAAAAATAAGAACCAAGATTTATCATATATAGGTACAAATTCCCAATGATGAATGTCATCATATCATATACTTAAAATGTACCAATAAACTGAATTAAAAAATAGAAAGAAAGAAAACTTTTGGGTTAAGATAATAAATTAGGAGTCAAACCAGGAAGTGGATTTTCTTGGTCCTTTGTCTACTGTGATGTCACAATTTTATTACTAAAAAAAATTGCAAGCTGGGCATCGTGGAGCATGCCTATAATCCTAGCACTTAGGAGACTGAGGCAGGAGGATTGCTTTGAGTTCGAGACCAGCACAGACTACATAGTGAGTTCCAGGTCAGCCTCAACTACATAGTGAGACCCTATCTCAACACACACCCCGCGCCCCCCCAAAATAAAACTGCATTACAAAACCCAGATCTCTTGAGACCAGCAGTGACAGGAGTTACCAAATTCTGCTGAATATTTTCCTTTTTTTTGGCACCGGGGATCGAACTCAGGTCCTTATGCTTGCAAGGCAGGCACTGGAACCACTGAGGTAAATCCCCAGCCCCTTTTTTTTTTAAAAAACTTTTCTTTTGCGGGGGGTTTGTAGTTGAGTCTGACCTGGAACTCACTATGTAGCCCAGGCTGATCTCGAACTCACAGCGATCCTCCTGCCTCAGCCTCCCGAGTGCTGGGATTACAGATATGCACCACCACGACAGGCTTGAATATTTTCCTGTATGAGTCTGAATTATAAATCAGGAAGACATAGAATCACAGAATATTATAGTGGAAAAGGGCTTTAATTCAGCTAAGTTCACCATCCTTTCTCTTCTCTGTACCTAGGACACTGGAGGACATAGACAGCCAAGGGTAGCAGAGTAAAGAGGTTTCCCTAATTCTTAATGTAAGCACATAGCTGAGGATGAAGGGAAAAGCAGAAAGAAAAATGGTAAGACTTCATTGTAAGTATGAAATACAATTAAGAAAAAAGAATGAGATAATAATTGTATGCTAAATTTTAATCAACTTACTTAATGGAATATTATCTGAACTTAGTCCACCAAATAGGAAAAGTTTGTCATCAGCTATCGGTGTTAAAGTGTGCCACGACCGATGCTTTGGGCTTTCTCCATTAACAGGAATCCTGCAACAAAGGAAAAAAAGTTAAATAAAAGGATTTTCAGTATCTGAGATCTTAAAAAAAAACTTCTTTTACTATGCAAAGGAGTTGATTTTACTAGTCCTATTACATGGAAGTTTAAAAAACATTAAGTTCTTACATGAATTTAAATAATTTCTTTTATTATAATATCAATTCAACCTGCCCACAGAACACAGGGTAAAAATAAAAGTCAGTTCCTTAAAAAAAAAAAGTCAGTTCCTTGCTAATTCACAATGCATGTTTTCTTGTTGGTTAATTAACATCTTTCCCTAGTTTTTCAATATTTTCCTGTCTATAACTTTTTATTTCATGTTTAATTTTTTGTTTTTAACCAATTTCTCCAAGGATATTATAAGTTTTGTAGTTATGGTTTCTACTTTGGTCTACTTACAGAAGTTCCCAAAATATTATCTTACTCTGAAAACGCTAGCTACTCTAATTCAAAATAAAAATACATACGCCATTCCAGATCCAGGATAAACCTTTAAAGTTTTCACTCAAATATCTTCTTAAAAATAGAAATAAAAAACATAAATATAAGTTACAAACAAAAAGTTTAATTCAGGAGGTGAGGAGATAGCATTCTTCAACATTCTGGCATGCTTCATAATAAGCCATCTTTCAAAGATGTAATTTTTCCAACATGGAAATAAGTCTCATTGTTTTTGTCAATTATAAGAAACACTTCAGTTTAAGCATTAAGCCATCACAAAAAAAAAATTGAATAGGATAATCCTCTAATGATCTTGTCTCTTGGCAATAAGGAGATACACTAATTTGGTGTATATCTTTTAAGAATGTTTATCGCTTCTTGGCCTTTTGGCTAAGATCAAGTGAAGAATTTTATTTTCTTTTTGCAGTGCTGGAGATTGAACCCAGGGCCTTCAAACTGAGTTATATCCCCAGCACCTTTTATTTTTGAGACAAGGTCTCACCAAGTCTCCAAGTTGCCTAGGATGGGCTTGAACTTGCTATCCTCCTGCCTCAGCCCTTAAGTGCTGCAATTACAAGGGTGAGTTACCGTGCTCAACATTTTTAAGACATTAATGCATATATTAACATATTTATTAAAATATAAGATCATATGTTCTATTCTGAAATATCTTGTAACCTTTTTAACTGAAATGAAATCTTCTAAATCACACATTCTCACACACATACATACACTTGCCATGTCTTTGAAGAAATTATGAACCAAAGTGAAAGTTTTGCTCTATATTTTAAATATATTGCTAAACTACTTTCCAGGAATATAGTTCCAATTTGCACTCCTACCAATTGTGTTGTTACAGCTTAGCACACACTGGTAATTATAATTATTTTTATCTGATAAATAACTGAAAACTTACTTTTTTCCATTTCTTTGATAATCCATGAAGTTGAACATCATTTTAAAATAATTTTTTCCTATTAGTAATTCTTTTGTGTGTGTGCATGTATGTGGTAAGGGGTTCAGCCATGACTCTGCACATGCTAGGCAAGTGCTCTATCACTGAGATAACCTGTTGGTGCTTCTTTATGCTGCTACTCATGTCTGTTGCCCACTTTTCTACTGAATTCTTTGTCTCTTTCTTAGAGATTTTCTGAGTGTGTGTAAATCTTTGTCCTCACTTTCCTGTTAAAGATATTACAGTCAGGTGTATTGGCAAATGCCTGTAATCACAGTGCTCTGGAAAGCTGAGGCAGACGATGGCAAGTTCGAGACCAGCCTGGGAAACTTAGCAGACACTATCTCAAAAGAAAAAATAAAAAGAGTTGGGGCCATAACTCAGTTGTACGGCTCTGGGAAGTGCCCCTGCATGCCAAAATTATAAATGTTACCTTTTCAATGTGCATTTTCCAATTTGCCATTAAACTCTTTTTGGTACATTTTTCTATAGAGAAATATTATTTATCTTAATTTTTGTGGTACTGGATGTCAAAACCAAGTGCTCTCTACCATGAAGCTATATCCCCAGACATTTAAAAAATTTTTATTTGAGACAAAGTCTCATTAAGCTGCCCAGATGCCCTCAAATTTGCAACCCTCCTGCTTTTCTCCTAAGGAGCTAGGATCACAGGCTGCCCACTGTGCCTTGCAAGAAATATTTAATTTTTAAGTGGTCTTACCAGTCAGTCTTTTTGTTTATAAAATTTGGGTTTATATAATCTTTATAAAAACTTTCTCAATGCCTGTACTGTGTTGTATTATATTGCATACATATATGTATTATTCTGGGGATTGAATCCAGATGCATTGTATCACTAAGCTACATCCTCAGCCCTTTATTTTATATTTTCTTTTCTTTCTTTTTTTTTTTTGCAGTACCTGGGATCAAACTCATGACCTTGTGCTTGTGAGGCAGGCGCTGTACCACTGAGCTAAATTCCTGGCCCTTTTTTAATATTTTCGAGACAGGGTCTCACTAGGCATTCTATCACTGAGCTACATTCCCAGCCCTTTATTTTATTTTATGTTTTAGAGACAGGGTCTCACTAAGCTGCCCAGACAGAGCCCAAACATGTGATCCTTTTGCCACAGCCTCCAAATTAGACAAGATTACAGGCTTTTGTCACCAAGCCTGGCTCAATGCCATGATTTTAAATATAATGAGCTATGTTTTTTGATACTTTTATAGTTTTGTTTTAATGGCATTTATACTCTAGAATAATGCATAGCTGTGGCTCCATTTCATTGCACGAATGGCCAAATTGATAGCTAATTCTATTTATTCTGTTGTTGAGTTTATAATGTGAACCATAAATAAAATCTGACTTTTACTCACTTCATTCTCTACTCATGTGAGGTAACCCCATTCAATCACTCCTTCATTTCTTCTGATCCATCCTCAAAGGTTGCTTACTATAAAAGTGGGACTTGCATATAATCAGATTCCACTGTTAGGAGCTTCATGTTTTATATAGAGTTCAAAGAACAAACTATTTAAATTCACATATTCTTTGCTTAGACATATAATATGAAGAATGAAAAATCTCAGTTCAATATTTTTAGGAATCCCAATTTGGATCACAACCACACACAAACCTCTAGATTTAAACAAACTTACATTTCAAACTTACCTTCCAGACCAGGCCCAGGTGTCTAAGTTTAGATAGTGCAAGTCACTCATCCGAGTTTGCTAAAATAAAAGTGTGTCACATTAGACCATTGTTAACACCTTTTCCAGCCTTAAAATAAGTTAAGAATAAATAAAGACAGACTATCTCAGGGCTGAGGATGTAGCTCAGTGGCGCCGAGCCTGCCTCACAAGTGCAAGGTCCTGAATACAATCCCCAGCACCTGCCCCGCCAAAAAAGATTATCCCTATTTTCCTTCACATTGTTGCTGAAATACTGGGAAATAGTTCTAAGCATTAATAAAATAAACATAGAGCTCCCAAATTAATGTGTCAAAGGAAAAAAGAACAAATGGGTTTAAACTAAAAAAAGGTTCAGATGATATGAAATTAAGCTTTTCTGACACTGCATGAAAGTAAAGGATTTTCCCATTAAAATATGATATATAATCATCTGTGAATGCTTGTATATGACCCTTCTTTTGTTGTTGTTTTTGAGACAGGGTCTTGCTATGTACTTCAGGCAGGCCATAAACTCATTGGGAAGCTCACGCTGTCCTCAAACTTGCAGCCATTCTTCTGCCTCAGCCTCACAAGTGCTACATCTAGAGTTTCTGAGCATTCAGTTGTTCCACAAAATCAGAGGATACATTTTGTAACAAGCATCAAACATAACAATGCCATTTCCATTAAGAGTACTAACCAGAACACGGCCACCGAAGACATAACCCTTATTTCCAAGAACTGCACATGAATGCGCAGCACGTGGCTGTGGTGGGGTTCCACCCTACAAACAGAGATCAGAATACAGTGAGAGACCTGTACATCACTGAGACGTCATAACCCTACTCGTGGGATAGGAAACACCTCACCATTAAGTTGCTGTTGTAACTCAAAGCACCTAATGTGAAAGTTCATTCTAAAAAATATAATTATAGAAAAATATCACTCTTTAAAAACGAAATTTATTCTTTCTTTACTTTTTAAAGAATTTCTCTCTTTGGTGCTGGGGAGTGAACTCAGGGAATTGTGCATGCTTGGCAATTACTGCACCACTAAGCTACCATCTCTTTTTAAATTTCTTACACCTAAATCGTCCAGGCTGGCCTCAAACCTACGATCCTCCTGCCTCAATCTCCTGAGGATCTGGGATTATAAGTGTGCTGTGACACCACACTGTCTTCTAATGTGCTTTTCTTAATATATTCCACAAATTGATATATTCAACAAAATAAAATTTCATAGAAATTTTAGCTTAGCATATAAGTGATTTAAAAATCAAATTTAAAAGTACTCCACCACCACACACACACAGAGTTAATACTGGGAATGTGCAGTGTAAAATGAGATGTTCTCAGAATCTTTAAAAAATTAAATATGTCCTCAAAACTCCTCAAATTCAGAGGAAAAACAGCATGGCTGGCTTAAGCCAAACTGTGTGTGTTGTTGCTTCCTAAATGTTTTAACGCTAAGTGATGCTTCTCTATACTTTGAATAAATAAAGTAAATCTTTTCTTTAGAGGAGTTTTTAGTTGGTGCAAGAAAGAGAATATAATAAGTAGGTGAATGATTATGATTTGAAGAAAAAGTGGTTGGGGAAGCTCAGTGCAAGAGCAGGTGGAAGAATGTGCTTAGCAATTGAGAGAGCGGCCTGGGCTCAACAGGGAGGGAGAGCGAATCATCTCCATGATTTCCATTGTGCTCATGATGGATGCCTCTGGGTATGTATTTCATCTGAGTTCTGAAAGAACCCAACAGATTCACCTCATTGGCTACGAATATGGGCATAGGAAACTTGTGTTCTATATCCAATATTGTAACTTCCTAAACTTTCAGGGCTTACTAAAAATCAACTTGGTGAGAAATAATTCAGATTTTTACCTATTATATTTAAATAAGTGAGACAGAATCATGTAAGAGCTTTGTTTCCCAGTCTTCCTGGCAAGCCAAAAGTTTTATTATTGCCCCCTCCCAGAAGTTCCAGAACCTTGTTCATGCTCTAAGGAAGTAAAGGGTTAAGAGAATTGAAAGAGATCCAAGATTAGTTTCAGGAGAGTGAGCCTCAGTAATATTTCTCTCCCCCGACCTGCTAACATGAAATTATCTTTACTGAGGTAACAACCTTTGATTCCATTAATAAAAGACATCAACTCTTAAATTCAAATGCTGATCGAAGTAAAATTCAATTGACAAATATAACTAACTGACAATTGATCAGTACTAAGTTAGAAATGGTGTAAAGAGAACAGAAGAGCACTGGAAATCTGAAATTCACTGCCTGGAAAAAGAGGATGCAGAGAGGGTCAAACTTGTAACAGAACTTGCCAACATTTCCATCAGCAAATGTTGGACTATAAGGAGTCATGCATTCATATTAATAGACAAAGTTTGTTTTGCCTGCTTGGCTTCCCCTCTGTTCAGTTCTGGTGAGCTTTATCAATCACAATATCCCACACACGTACATGCCAGGTTGGGCATGTGACTCGACTGGCCAGGCCTCCCCTTAGCAACAGGGGTGCTGTGAGAGGGGGAATATGCCCAAGGAAAGTCAGAGTCCTCTTCCAGGACTATATGAATACCAGAGAGTACAATACAAAGAACTACTTGTATAGTTAGGGCTCTATTCCTTCCTAAATGGCCCAGGTGGTTTGCAATAGATAAAATGAAGCAGGCACAAACGAGAAGCAGGGACAAACAGATGGAGCAAGACAGAAAGCATTGTGATGGTGCTGAGAAAAGGGCTCCAGTTCCTGAGGTACTTGTTTATATAGCTCTTCTGCCCTGCGAACCATACCCAATTGTTTAAACTAATCTGAATTTGTTTGGTCACTAGCAAATGAATAAATATTGACAATGTATTTTTGTCACACTTTAAGACATATAGCTCTGATTTCAAGGGTTTATTAAAATACAAATAGCCAGGTATAAAGGCAGATGTCTATAATCCCAGCACTGTGGGAGACCAAGGCAGGAAGACTTGAGCCCAGCCTGGGCAAGTGTCTCAAAATAAAATATAAAAATGAGCCAGGGGTGTAACTCAATGTGAAGGCTCTGGATTCAATCCCCAGTGACACACACACACACACACACACACACACACACACACACACAGAGAAAACCCCATAGGTATTTAAAATTACCAACTTTGTTTAAAAAAAGGACTTATGGGGCAGTGAGAGAGACTCACTAGTGTCCAGGCTGGCTTGAACTGACTAGGAGGCCTTGAATTGTAATCTTTCTGCCTCAGCTTGCTGCGATAACAGGCCTGAGCAGGTTGCCTGTGTTTACAGAACTTTTGAAAATCCCTCATATTATAGTAAGGCATGACATTTGAGAGTAAAGAATGATGATGATACCTCTTTAAAAGATTGTTTTTAGAGAATCCTATCTGATATGGAGAAAAACATATTTTTAATGGTATTGATAACAGTACTCAAGAGAAATGTTTTGCACATGATTATAAAACCATATATTAAAATATAAATAACAGTAATAAACTAGATTTTTTAAAAGTATCAGGGAATATATGAATATAAAGGCAAATTTTACAACACTTACTTTAATTTCTGGTTGAAACCAAGTCTGTGTCTTTGTGTCAAATACATGGATGTCATTATGCCATCCCCAGAATATCTGCTCTTCCTAAAACAGAAATTTTTAAAATATCTCAAAGCTTTACTTTTCACAATTGTTACAGTTTTGTCACTTTTTTTTTTTTGGTACCAGGGATTGAACACGGGTCCTTGCATTTGCAAAGCAGGTGCCAGAACCACTGCGCTAAATCCCTGGCCCTTGTCACATTTTTACTAGTAAATAATAGACATCTTTAAAAAACCAAGCTCAGTGTCACCACAGCCACAGAGCTGAGGCCCATGCCACCTGGAAGAGAGCCGTCCCCAAGGCAGTGGGTGCTCCGCCTAGCAACCCTTCTTCCTGCAGTGCTGCTTCAGTGAATCACAGTTTTACTTGAGAATCTTTCAATTCTTTCAAACAATTGTCTCTTAAAATTGAACAGGATGGGGCTGGGGAATTTAGCTCAGTGGCATCTTGTCTGGCTTGCAAGGTCCTGAGATTGATCCCTGGTATAAAAAAAATAAATAAATTGCACAGGAAGAATGATTTCCCCCCCTGCGCTTGCAAAGCAGGCGCTGGAACCACTGAGTTAAATCCCCAGCTCCAGGAAGAATGATTATTTACATTCAACAATCTGCTTCCTTAAAGCACATGCTCAGAACCTAATGCTTGCTATAATAAATATAACAAGGCATGGTTCCATTTCTAACAAGTTCCCATCACTTCTATTCCACCATGCAATTTGCTCTGTTCTTTATCTTCTAAGAGATAAAAGTCTTTATTGGCAAGGGAAAGATTTAGCAGTTACACTGCATTTAGCATCTTCTAGATTGTTGAAGTCCTTAGTTTTCCTCTATGCCATCTTTACATTCTACATCAGAAATACATCATTTGTTTTTGATAGGGCTCACCACGCAAATCAAATAAATTAAGCAATTTAGATGGTTTGGAATCTAAATGAAAGTTTATTTGTTCTCCTGGAACTTTAGGACATGTTTGTTAGCTTAACTGTACTACGGAAGAACAACAATGGGTGATTTCACTGTAACAATAATTAGACAGAAATAGTGGTAAGTTATATTCCTGAAAATTATTAGTAAAACTTTAAGTAGCAAAATTTTAAAGATTTTTTTTTTTTTAACTTCAAAAATGGAGGGCTGGGATGTAGCTCAGTGGCACAGTATCTGTTTTGCAAGGACAAGGTCCTGAGTTTGATCCCTAATACCGAGCAAAGAATAAAATAAAATAAATGACTGCAAGGAGTCTTAAAAAATATGCAGAAACATGGAGAATTTTCTTTTTTTTCTTTTTTTTTTTTTTTTTT